GTAGGTTCCCCAAAAAAAAGCCGGAGGTGGGGTCCAGGGGTAGAGCCCTGGTGTGGGACGAGGGGACGAAACCCGCTGAAGTTCCTGGAATTTAATTTATGCACTACAATGTCTGACATTTTTATAAAGGTGATACTTGACATAATGGCTCACCATTATCAAAAACCAACTCAGGAATTTCACTGTCTATTTACAGGGAATATACTCAAATGTTGAGGAGTTGGGGGGAACAGAGTTTGCCCCTCCCCCCCCTCCATTATAGAATGGGGGCAGTCACCCCCCCTGCCCCCCCTTTTCCTATGCCTATGTATACATAAAAATAAATGTATATATGCTGTAGAGACAACTAAATAAATTATATATATATGTATATGTTATATTATATATATATATATATATATATATATATATATATATATGTATATATAAAAATATATATATATGATAGATAAGCATTTATTTCTGCGTATATGGATGTCTGAATATGCAAATATTCATTGGGTCGGACCTCACACAATTTTAACAAACCGGCTCTAGTAGTAGTTCCTGCTCAAGGAGAGTAGGCATCCTCTTTTCGTTTCAATTTTGTTTCACCACAAACTTCTTTTGCACACAGCAATGTTTACAGCAAACTTATTTTCATTTACATTTCTTGAATCATGATTCTTTTGGTTAGTGGGAGGAAATTCATGGATTTAAGTTTACTATTACTGGATCTGGTGCCAGGGTAGGTTATTTACATAGTCAAATTTTGCTTCTAAAGTAACAGGAATATTACCTCATTATGTAGACAAAATGGGAAGGAGGCAAGATTCTTTGTCTTCATTACTATTTCAATCAATTTTGAATAAGAATTTATTTTCTTTTTTCCTTGGAACATCAAAAACAAAGTAATCTCTAATTGCTTGGGTAGTTTTAATGAATTCTCCTCACTGATAAACTTACAGGTTATCAAAAAAAGACAAAGAAAAAAATAAATGTAAACCAGGTCATGGGTTAATGGTTAATGGTTAAGATAAATGTGCTAGACATCTAAGGTCATATATAGCACTATAGGAAAGTATAGTAAAGAGGGATGTCAGGTGACAGTTGTTATGTGTCAACTATCTAGAATAGTGTTGAGAGGTTGAGGATGAGGGAAAAGATTATGGTGGTTTAGGTAAGGGAGTTAGATCAAGTGAAGGATATTTATGTGTCTGAGGAAGGAGAACAGGTTGTCGAGGCAGAAGCAATGGGATGGGATGGGGAGAAGTAGACTGAAATCACTGTGATCCAGCGGCGAAGAAAGATGCGAATAGCTGTGCACGGGACAGAAGTTTGTATGGGAGGTATGACATAAGGTGTTTTATGATGGATAAGTATAGACGAGACATAAAGGGAGTGTGGGGAAGAGATAAAATGGTAATTAGGAATTGGAATAGGAGGGTGTGTGAGGAAAGTCTCTTGGAGGCAGATAATAGATGGATTATAAGAAGCAAGGATATGACGTAGGTCTGATCTATGAGAGCGGAAACCGCGAATATTCCAATGTAGGAGAGCTATATCCTAGTTGATTTATGAATGATAACACATTTACGTGTTGGGGAATTTGAAGGGGAAGGAGCTAGGGGTGTAAGTGGGATATTAGAGGTAGGGAGTCTGGGAGAAGGGCATTGTTGTGCCATGAGTGATTCTCGTGTGTATCCTGGAGGGAGTGCAAAGGATAGAGGGGATGGAGGGAGGGAGAATGTGCCTATAGTTGAGGTTGAAGGGGGTGGGTTGTGTTGGGAGGGGAGTAGATGTGTGGGGAGTGTTAGTGTTAGGAGGATGAATATCAGAAGGATGGATAGTTGGAGTTGAAGGGGATGTGTTGTCTTGGAGGGATTAGGGGGGAAAGGGTGTAGGGGTGCTGTGAGTAAGAGGGGGATGCATATCAGGAGGATGGGTATTGGGAGGATGGATATCAGTGGTGGTTGGGATTGAGGGGGTTAGGTTGTGTTGGGAGGGAGTAGGAGGAAGGGGTGTAGGGGGAATATTAGTAGGAGGGTTATGAATATCGGCAACCACTTCAAGTGTGGAAGGAGCATGAGTTATGGGATTTTGTGTCTCAAGCATATAGCTTTGAATGTCATCCATTGTCTCTGCAGTGGAGTTTGTTGGAGAGTTTTGTGAGAAAGGTAATTGTTTCTGCAATGGAATTGGTTTGGAGAGTTTTGTGGAATAAAGGTTTTCTTATGAGGGGGGGAAGAGGAGACTGGTGTCTCAGGAACAAAGGTATAGGTAGGTGGAGGTGATTGTGCTGTAGGGGAAGAAGGGTTAGAACGTTTAGTCTGTCTACTGCGGATAGTGCGGGGAGGGAGAGGGGTTGGTGTTGGGGCTGGTAGTTGAGATAGGAGCTGTGTTGAGATTGGGGTGTCTGGGTTTAGAGTGGCAAAGGAATTGGTCTGAGGGATGTAGAATGTAGAAGTGGAAATGGGGACATTTTTGGGTGGAGGGGGAAGGGCTGAGCGGACGATGTTGCTAGAATATGGAGTATGAGAGAAACCTTGTCGACGTGCTTCCTGTCTGGCTTCACGTAAAGTGAGACCATTTTTGTATCTGAGAGTTGCTACCTCAGATTCAAATTTGTAAGTGGGACAGCCTCTATAAAATACATTTATGGGGGCCGCCGCAGTTAGCACATGTTCGTGTTTGTGCTGAGCAGTTTGATCGATTATGACCAGGTTGGGCACATATGGGGCATCGGTCTGTGGAACGGCAATGTTTGGCAGGATGTCCCAAAGCGCCAACAGTTTTGACATTGACGTGGAGGGGGTTGGTATGGTCGAACAGGGAGGGATTGTCCACCAATGTAGATACGTAAGGGAAGGTCATGAGTACAGAAGGTAATTTTGGCAATATTGGTTGGATTCTTTCGTTGACCTTTAGGAGGAATGGTTGTAGCAATGTACTGATTTCACATCTTGGTCTTTGAGGCATCCTAATAAGTCTTCCACAGTCTGACCAATCTTTTGGTATCGACTGGGCAGTTTGCTGGGAGAGAGAGACAGTTCCGGGTACAAGTATTAAGGGTTGGATGAGGTTCTGCAGGAATGGGGTTGCCAGAATGATCAGTTAAATTTGACAGTGCTATAGATTCAGTTTCTGATCTGACTGTTACCAGACGGGAGCGATCGCGTCTGGTATAGAAGGGACTCTACCTACTTGTTTTTGGAGGCATTGTTGAAAGAGAAGAGTGTTGCCTGAGTAAGGAGCTGTAGCAGGGATCACGAAAAATCGGTCCCATTTAGCTGGGCTAAACAGAGTATTTAAGATATCTGTAGGGTTTGGCGGTGGTGGATAGTCGGGACGTGTGGAAGAGGGAGTATTACGGAATGATGGAGAATAAGGTTGCAAGGTAGTAATAAGGAGGATTGGTTGTTTGATGAAGGTTGCAGGGGTGGAGTTGAATTTGAGGAAGTTGGGGGTAGGAATGTCTTCTGGAGATTGATTCTCTGCTTGGGTGGGTAATGCACTAGTAGGCATTGAGGAGTGGGCAGTAGTTTCAGTGTTCGGAGCCGTGGTCAAAGGAGAGCCTGGGTTGGGCTATTTGATAAAGGGGCTAGCCTCATAGCCTCTAATAAAGGGATTACATTCTCATTACTGGTCATGGGGAACCTGGATTATGTAAATAGGCCTATTCGGTCCACCTCCTTTCGCTACTGAAGGTAAGGGCTAGATTAGTCAGGAGTACCATGCCCATAGTTCCCGCGCAGGCCGTTCAGGGACTGGCACTAGGTCAGCCTTTCATCCTCTCAGCACGGCTCTCACACCTTAGGAAGTAGAAAGCAGAAGGGATGAGAAGAGACGGAAACAAAGGCTGGAGAAAAAAAAAAAAGACCATGCAAAATTAGTTGAGTCGAGGGCTGAGGCCCTAAGCAGGGGAGATCCCTGTATTGGGTCTCAGTCTTCGTCTCCTAAGCCCCCCCACGACAACAACGGGCAAGGGATTGGGGGGGTACAGGTTATCAAAAAAAAAAAAAAAAAAAAGACAAGAAAAAAAATAAATGTAAACCAGGTCCTGTCACTCCAAGCTGACAGGACCTGGTATTAGGATGTGCAACATATCCATTAATCTGGGTCCTACTATCTCATGTTTCCATGTACTTATGGATATTATTGAATATACTGCATCTGGGAAATGGTTCCTACTATTTCTGCTGTTTATACTATTTACTTTCAAAGTATCAATATTATTTTTGTCCTTTTAACATTTTCTTCGTATTTTAATTAGTAAATTTACAATTACTATAACTGTCTTTGTTTTATTACTATTGGCAAAAGGAAAAAAATTATGAAAATTGTGAACATATAAGAGCATTCTTCAGCAATGCTTACTCCGGTTATAGATTAATGGCCCTGGTTAGTACTTCACTGTTACATTTTTCAAATTCTTCCACATATTGTTTAAATTAGTTTAGTTATTACTGAATACTGGTAACTTAAAATAGTACTAGTAAATTTTCTTTCATCATTTTAACTTGGATTTAATAGTTATTAATTTTCTTTGGTTTTAACTTGGATCGAGTATTTTCATAAATTTTGCAGATATTACTTTTGTAATAATTGCAATGTATGGCCTATCATACATACTACATGGCAAAATCAATTAGCTTACCTGAAGGTGTATCAGTTAGCCCAAGCAATACATAAAACCCATGGTGAATGAATGGATAGGGCCACAGTATTAAAGACATATTATTACTTCTGTTTCCAAGCCCTGAAATTCCCTTTACTGAACCAAAGAAAATATCAGCAGCCCAGTTTGTGATTTTAGGACACAAAAGTTGAGAATTATCAGTATACAAGGAGGGCTGTAAGAGCAATCAAAAAAACATTTTACGAAAACATGTTTATTTCCTAAAGTTGTATATATTCATTTATATATATCTATATATATTTATTCAGAAGACAGTGTTAAAATGAGTGCCTAAAACCAGAAATCAAATGCCTGTTGGAATAAAAAAAGGAAACTCCATACAAAATGTACTGGTTGTAGATTATATACAAATAATAATAATGATCATAATCATCTAAATAATGACAACATTAATAATAATGAAAATAAATAAAAAATAAACCAATCCCTCATTTTGTCTGGACAGAAAGATTTGATAAAAGTAAAGTATATAGGAAAAAGTAGGACGTGCAAAATTGAAGAGGGAGAAAGCTCATAGCCAGAAAATACCCGATTGACTGCGCTGTCCGACAAAGCTGATCACGACAGGTCAGATTATGGATTCCTTTCCCAATCTTAGTCTTATCTTTAACGTATTGCCCTCACCAAGAAGAGTCAACCTTGAACCTAGCTAAATGAGATCATTGTGAAGCAGAACTTTTTAAATGTAAATGAAACACATTATGAGTAAAGTTAAAAGTTAGTAGCATATCATTGGCATCAGCTTATATTAATAAACTTTAATATGTTAAGCACATTGCAGACAGTATACTTTGAAATACAGAATCCCCTCCCCCCTAAAAAATATAAAAGTACTAAAAATGAAACTTGTAAATGAGTAAATGCACTTGGTTACGTTTATATGGTTAAATGAGCAATATTTAGTTAACAGTAATTATTTTGACAATTTCATAACAGAAAATGTTAATTTATAATGATTAAATAAAAGACCAGAGTGCACTAATGCCTTACTTAACATTTATACTGCATTCAGCACTTAAATACAAGAATAGTTAAGGCCACATTAACTGATTAAAAAAGGGATCACAAAATTACCTGTATTTAGCTAGTAAACATATGTATAAAAATTTCTATGAAAGGCTAAATAACGGAAGGCTTCCTTACATCACAATACAAAAAATCAGACTATTAACTCCAAGCACACTGCTGACCCATGTCGAACCGTCCCTCGGCTAGAACACAGGCCAGAAACATCTAAAGACAATATACAAAAGTGCCATGCTGTGAGTTAGTATTCTGACAAAGCTCCCCCTAAAGGACTATTTCTCGTCCACATTATTCTTCTTGTACTGTTCTACCAGGTGCTTCTTGTATGCCACTTGGTTGGCCCAGAGTTCAGCTGCATGGCCATTCAGGGGACTGTCATTGTTAGGCTCTGGAAGAGAAAAATATACAACTTAAATCCCTTTGATTGAATCATTTTACCTCAGAAAAGTATCAAAGTAAAATTCTGAACCTGGAAACAGTGGTAATAGTTGCAGAGTTTGGAGCCTTTTTTTCTTTTTTTATAATAATAAGAGCAAAAAAATATGTATATTTTTTATCAGTTAAGTTTTGAGACTATTAGCTATTATGGGAGAAAAAAATAATAATAATAATAATAATTAGTTGTTAACCTATATGACCATATGTCAACTAGGAAATATTGAAATTCAGCCATTGTTCCTAATTCATTATGTGAGGGAAATCTCATACTTCATATTAAGTAATAATTTTCAGAGATTCAAATTTGTGATTGCACAATGTTAAAAAGAATGTTAACCATTATATACCCTCTAATCATTTTAAATAAACCAAGTTTGAAGATGAATCTGGGAATCATTCTTAAAGCATTACCTTATCAAAATTATCATAATCATTTTTAGCAGCATTGGTATTTTCAGATATGTAAACCAAGGAAAAGGTATAGCATTGCATATTTATTTAAATTCTGGCCTTTCACCTTCCTCCACTTTAGATATGTGCTTAACCCAACCATGAGAGCTTCCCCATACATCAGCGTGCATGGGGAGTTGGCTGCTCAGGGGAAAAATAAGCACGGCAAGCATAAAATTGCCCACCCTCTATGCTCTTGACTGTAGCATAAACATTCTTTTTTAGGTAATGAGGTTAAAAAGAGGTTCTAAGCCTACTTTGGCAATCTATTATTCCTCACTGAATGCAGCCAGGCCAACATATTCTGGGAATGACTTGCCATGAGTGCACAAAGTTCTTGTAGGGTGAGTAGACTCAGCGGCCATTTAGGAACAAGCTTTTGCATTATTTCCTGTGACAGACAAGTTTAGAATGTACCACTTATGAGCCATGACTTGAAGAGTGCAAGTTCCAAGGAGGACGCTATTTCCATGCTCAGGATCCTATTCCTGCCCTCTGTGACCACCGGCACAGGTTGTAATACAGAAAATTGTCAATTACCTAGGAGTGGACTATCTCACCCCATTCCTGATATTTTCTGGTGGAATTTCTTTCCATTTCTATTATTTTTATTATTGTTAATAACAGTATTCTCATGCCATAAACAAGGAATAGAGTAAATAGGTGCGATAAGGCAGTCTTGTACATGATTCCACTTAATGTGTGTTTGATACACCAAATACCATATAGATAGAATGATAGATAAAGCGGTGAGGTGAGAGGCTTGCAGCTGTAGTTCTATTCAAATATACTTAATTAAAATGGCACAAGTTCAAGCAGAGAACTCAAATCCATAATACATTAAAGTATTGCAGAAAGAACACAAAAATTTGCACTTGCAGTAGTAGCTTCTATAAGGATGTTATAATTTGTTAGAATTGGAATATGAGGTTGAATATGGCAAAATCAATACATTTCATAGGAGTTTAATTATCCTATCCACATCAACCACTTAATGACCCTGCAATTTTTTTTTATAAACATTAGGGATTTACATACCAAATGGGGTAAAGAAACTTATTTCCACAATTACCTATTTGCCATAGTTACCTTACCAGAAGCCACACCCCTCTTTCAATGTATAAATAGTTTATGTAATCCTGTATGACAAGTTTAACCCATTGACACCAGGAGGGCATGCATACATGGCCTGTCCACGGTGTTTTTCATTTTGTTTACACATCTATGCCTCCGCAAGGGCTTAGTCATTACCAAGATTCCATTACTACGCCTTAGCTATTTATGCAGTTCCTTAAATTTTGGGGAACAATGTATTTTTATTTCTATTGGGACTGCTAATAGTTATAATAATGATGTAATAACAATAAGGACAGTATTAGATATAAAAGCATGTGGTATATAGATGACTTTCAGTTGGATATGCCTTGTTATTGATTCTATTGAAAAAGAACTTGAGGATAGTTAATGATTAATGGTTAAAATAAATATGTGTGCTCGATATCCAAAAGCATCCATGAAGCAACAAAATCTACAGTTGATAGTGGATGCACCTGGTGCTAAAGGTTAACAATGGAAATACACAGTTTACCAATTTTAAACAGTAGCCCTTTAGAGGAAGACATAAGAAAGTGTTAAGTGTAGCATCTTTTGATCGATAATAACAAATGTTCAGTTCAGTTGCAGTCTATTAATTTTTCTATATTTGTAGCTAACATAAATTAAAGAGCAATAAAAATGATTTAAAATAGAGAAAAATGGACAGTGATCAGTAACCTATGACAGTAAACCACAGACCAAATCTTCCATAGACAATATAAACATTCAGAACTTGTAAAAAATATACAACTGCTGGCCAATAATGTGCTAAGATTAGTGGCATTAATATACACTGGGTGGTTATTCCAAGCATTTTACATCCCATCTGGATACAGTCTATTTAGATATATTAAAAATTATGAGATGAATTTAGTATATACAGTTTATAGCCTAACATGCTCAATGTTTGGTCTCATTTGTTTTTTTTAATTATACCCCCCACCCCCTAAAAAAATGGCATTCATGGATTCAATATTATCATTTACAATGCAATTCATGTTAACTCTTTTTTAATATCTTGTCTTAATTTAAAAGTTTATATTTTAACACCATTAACCTTTTAGTTCTGGGTACAACTATAGCTGTCATGATGTAATGGCCTATAACATGTATACATGTCAGTGTGTTAAATTTCAACTCGTATAGCTTTATAATGGTTAATGGTTGAAACAAATAAATGTGCGAGACATCTAAGGTCATACAGCACTATGATAAAGTATATGGTGAAAAGGGTAAATGAGTTCACGTTTAGTATAATGGGCGTTAAATGTCAAAAGTTATAGTGTTATGATATAGTATGATAGGGCAAAGGGTAAACAGGGAGTGCAAATGATGTAAACTGAACATTAATAAAGGAAAGGGTTAAGGGTATAGGGCGATCAGATGGAATGGGGTGTATCTGTTATTGGGGAAGCTATAGTAACATAGCTTTAAGGAAAACCTGATAAAAGAGCCATTATGAAATAATCATTGGTTAATACAGGTAGAGATGGCTGTTGGAGAAGTACCAGGAGAAGAGTCTGGGGATTAGATAAGGGGACTAGGGAAGGTGAAGTATCAGAAGAGCATCAGGAGGGGAGAAATCCAGAGGAGGACACTGTTGCGACATAAGGGATTCATGTGGGTAGCCAGGTAGGAGAGGTAAGGATAATGGAGAACAAAAATGCAGCAGCAGCAGCAAAGGACTGCTTTGGAATAGGGAAAGAAAAAACCTTGTCTTCATGCTTCCTGTCTAGCCTCACGTAGAGTGAGGCCTAGTTTGAATGTGAACTGCTACCTCACATTCAAGCTTACAGGTAGGGCAGTTCCTATAAAATATGTTATAGGAGTCACCACAGTTGGCACATGTAAGTGACTGAGCAGGGCAATTTGAATGATCATGACCAGGTTGGGCACACAGAGGGCAGAGGGCTGTGGAGTGACAGTGTTTGGTTGGGTGGCCAAAATGCCAACATTTCTGACATTGGTGGGTACGGGGTCAATATGGTAGGACATGGTAGGACAATCCACCAATATAAACTTCATGGCAATATTGACATGGGACTTACACTGGCCTCTGGAAGGAATACTTTGGCTCAATAGTGTGGAAGGGGCATCCACTCCCATCTCTCCGTCTGAGAAAGGAGTTCTCATTGAAAGGGTGGGGATTCCGTTGGGATATCCGAGGTTGGGGAAAAGAGTGGTAGGATAGCAGTATATATGGGTGTGACCTATTTGTTAATGAGCAAGAGCAGTTTCACATTGTCTGTTCAAGCAGTATAGGACTAAGCAAGGAGAAATGGCAGGTTTTATGGTTTGCAGTTTATTGGTGGTCAAACCTAACTGGAAAGATTGCCAAAAGTTATAAAGGAAAGTTTTGAAGTGGGGCTAGTAGTCGGTGGCTGATATGTGAGAAAAGCGGTATTGCTGGGTTGTGGGCAAGGCGGCAATGTGTGCCAAGGTATCTGTTTATTCATTAACAGAGATCCCAGCATGACTAGGGGTACAGCAAAATTGACTGATTTCAGTTGTGTACACATATAATAACTGGTCTTACATCTTATGGACTATAAAGTTGATAGGATGTATGGACTATATGAGTGATGTTGAGTTGCACGAGTCGGTAAAGATAATGAAGGATCAGGAAGATATGCATTGTAAAGCAAATAAAATGGCACACGATTCTGTTGTAAGGATGCTCAATTTAGGAGAAAGGGGAAAGTAGTATGTGTGAGAAGGAAAGACTACAGAAAACCAGTACCAGAGATGGAGTTGGAGCTGTTTGTATTGACATTGGTACTGGAGGAGTGAACAAGCATGAAATCAGAGGGAAGTGAGAGGCTAGTAAAACTGCCCTACTCAGCATAACACACATTAAAATGAGCAAGTGAGAAGCAGGTCATTCTCGCTTGTTCGCTCAGTAATTGCCTTACAGATCTGTGGCAGTGTAGATAATGAAACCTAGCATTATAATATATCAAAGTTGTGGGATATAAGTATACTTCATTGCCCATTCTACCATGCATATCTATTCCAGGAGTAATTGATACATTCTTGGACATGAACTAATTAAAAATAATAAACAAGTAAGAAAGTATCACCAGACTGACATGATTAAAGTACAATTATGTGAAAAAGTGGTTGCTTCATGTCAAATAACTAAGCAGTTATGATCTTTCACAGAAAGGACACTGTTGTGATATAAGGGAGTCATATGGGCATCCAAGAAGGAAAAGTAGGGGGGAAAGTAGGGAGAATAATGTATATGGAAAGGGAAGGATGGATGGTGGGAGAGAGTGGGTGGAAGAAGTGTAGGGGAGACATGAGGAGGATGAATATCAGCTTGCTTTTGAAAGTAGAGGAAACAGGATTATAAAGACTGGAGAGTGGATGAGATAGAGGACCATTCTCTTGGGTCAAATTTGGGAAGTTTTGCGTGTCATCAAGAGTTTCTGGAGGGGAATTCGGTGGAGAGGCTTGAGAAATGAAGGCTTTACTTTGAGGAGGAGTGGAGGGAACAGATGCCCAAGGAGTAGAGGAAGAGCTGGGTGTATGAGAAAATGTGGTAGAAGATGGGGATGGAACTTTTGGATTGCCTCGTGCAACAGGTAAAATGAGGAGGGGGGAGTAAACACCAGGGAAGTGGTAGAGATTGGAGTATATGGATTTAGAATGGCAAAACAATTGAACTAGGAGAGAAGAGGGTAGAAAATGAGGAAAACTGGGAAGGAGGAGCAGATGGAGAGGAGGCTATTTGGAGAGTGAAGGTGTGGTTCAATTGGCCTTGTCTTCATCTAGGACCCGACTTGTGTGAGTATCTAGCCAGGCGTTGTGTTTCAACTGCCGTAATAGAATGCACATCCATCTCATTTAACCCATTACTGTCGGTATATTTTGAAGCCAAAAATAAAAGATTCCAGGCAGCTACAAAATCGGCGCGCAGGGCTGGTCCGGCTGCTGGCCCCGAGGCCTGCGTCGGACCGAGCCCCCCTTGTTTATTTTTGGGGGTGTCTCATTTGAGGGAGGCCCATCATTACTGGGTTAAAGAACAAGGAGCACAAGGACTTATTCCCTATTTTTGCTGTAGTCTTGTTTTTTTTGGTGCATATTTTTAGAAGACAGAACAAACTAATTTACTGATTCAAAAATTATGAATGCTAGTCTGATGGGCCGTCAATGGGGTGTAGATCCTCAGTTTCAAATTAGCCATTTCTTGTTATTTGTTTTTGGTTCCTTTGAAATTCTTTTCCTAAATAGTCCATTTAGTTGAATTACTAGTGATAATTGCAATACAGGGATTAATCTTGTAGGCAGTGTTAACCCCACTGGTATTCAAGTGGCACCTCAACTCTCCCAAGTGAAGAGCTTGTAGGCCTGCCTATAAGAAGACTACTCTTTACAATGTTATTTCTTCTTTTCCTGCAGGTGCATTTTTACGGATTTTAAGTTTTCAATAACATCTCTTTGGGTAATTTATACTCAGTGCAATGGCAGTAACAATAAACAAAACTGTTATTTGTTTATTTTTTGGTATTTTAAAATTTTCTATAACAAACCTTATGCTACAGGTAACAGTGAGCAGGAATTGGTTCCTGTGCTCTGACAGTGCTTTCCCTGAAGCCAGCTTTCTCCCAGGCTTAGCTCACAGTTGGACACTCCAGCCTCATTTATTGGTGGTCATAATACAAGAGCACCTTCCAAACAAACCACAGAGAATCTCCCACTCATAACAAGTCATTCCCGTCACCCAACACTTGACAACAATATCCTATTGAGCTTTTCCCATCACATGCCCCTTTGCCAATTTTTTTCATAAGACTTCCCTGTCACCTAGATCAAAAAGATCACGGTAGTATTATAAGAGAAATTAGAATTCTGAAAATCTAAGACATGTTGCCAAATGACTTTAATTCTATTACAAATAACTAAGAAATTATTACAAATGGTAAAAAAAAAATTAAGTTAGGGGGGTGGGGTTACATACCTCCAAGTAATGACTGGATCGAGAGGAGAATCGACCGCACATCATACGATGCAGACCACTTCTCTTTTAAGATGTCTAGACAGATGTTGCCATGGCGGTCGACATTTGGATGGAAACATGGGGTAACAAACTTGACTGTTGGTGCGCTGTATGGATAACTACAGGGGAATTCTAGAGAGAGTTTGTAAGACAGACCCTCATACACCTGAAACAAGCATATCAAATGAGTAAAAGTGGATTGCATTTCAGTATAATATGGTTTGTGCAATATGAAAAACATGTATTTTGTAAATCTGAAATTATACAGAATCTGCTTGAAATTTTTGACAATTCCTAAGAGGAAAAGGAAGAAGAAGAAGAAGAAGAAGAAAAAAAAAAAGGGGGGGGGGAGAAGAAGAAGAAGATGAATAGAAAAACACAACACCATGTTGATACTATGGTAGCAAAACCCACAATGCTCAAACTAGATTTATTGAGGAAAGTGAGACAACAGACCTGAAGATGGAATTGAGGACGATTCCGAAACTGTTGTCTCACTTTCCTCAATAAATCTAGTTTGTGCACTGTGGGTTTTTCTACCAAGAAGATGATGAAAGATATATATAATGATAATCTTCCAACATACAATAGTAATAATATGTTATCAAAATATAGTTCTAATATTATATAAAAGTTTAGTATGCAAGTACACAAGGTTGATAAAAAATGCAAAGTTTCACTCAGGAATCCTACCGTGGACGCAGGACCAGTGATTGTGCCGATCCATTTAAAGAGATTGTCACCATCTGGGAATGCAGAGATGCCTTTGTTTGCCGCCATCATCAAAGTCATGAGCTCATGTTGGAGTCTGTAGAGGAAACAGAAGTTTTAGAAAAAACAGACATTTGTTATAAGTAAAGAAAATGCAATGGTAAGAAAAGGCAGTTCTCTTGATCATTTTGAGTGGCATAACATTGCATTTTTTTGTTTCAAACTTTTTGTTGTTGTTGCTTTTCATCCCATGCTTCATTCAATAATTAATTTGCATATTTCAAGAGGCAGCCACTATCTATATTCTATCCAAATGCTTTTGTTTTAACACACTGCCATATGTACCACTGGTAGTACATCAGTTTTTTTTTGTTTTTTTTTTATTCTTTTATTTTCAAGATTCCAACACAGACTTGGGGAAAAATAAGGGACAAATTGATTAGAATATAATTTTAAAGTGAAATTAAGTAAAACTTTTCATTCATGACAAGAGATATTTTGTATAAAGAAAATCACTCACAGTGATAAGACCAACAAACAGCAGAATCCTTGGACAATCAACTAAATATTCTATTATTATGAAGCCCAAGGGTAATCCTTTGCAAAGAATACAAGAGCCATGTTACATCCTTTAATTTTATTCTATGCAAATGGTGATGATTTTAAAATGAATAGTCCCCTAGATTTTGAAGCTATAACTGCACTTTTTTTCATTCATCCTAGGGAGCTGATAGCAACTCATGCACCTTTTTCTATTTGTTTTACTTTCACCTTACAATTAAACAAATAAACAAGGTGATTTTTACTGCCCAGAAAGAAACTCCAACAGAATTTTACAGATTACCATGTATGAGCCCCTTATGACTTCAAGCACAGTAAGTTTTACAGCTTTTGTTCCTTTATACATACCTGGATATTTACTATAATTAATCCAGCTAGGGGAAGGCAATAAAATAAAATCATAGAAAGTAACATACAATTAGAAAGACTTTAGGTTTGCTAAGCTTCAAGATACCACTGTACTTTCCTTTTATACATATTACTTACACATCACTTATCAGTAAAACAACTGAGTTATAACACAAACAAAATAAAACCGTCCCAGTCAAATCCTCCGATAGTTGCACTGAGATGTACAAGCAGAATTCAATACTGCTGTATACAGAATAAAGTTTAGTATCAATTATAAAAAATATTATACTGTAATAATTTGGTTGGAGTAACCAGGGGTCAAACTTGAGAAGTTTTTTTTTTTTTTTTTCTTTTCTTTTCAAAATGTTCTTCCTTGCTACCTCTCTTTTTGTCCCCTGGCTACACATCATTCTACACTATTGCACTCCGACCTGTTAAATAAGGAGGCCATATAACATCAAGAGATCTCCATTTTCCTAATCCTTTAGTACCAAGTTCAGAATTTCATTTCCTACCCCTAAACCCCCCTCCACACACCCACACACACACACACTGTGGAAAGGTATGAATGAGAACGAATATCTTCACAATACAAGAGATGTATTTAACCGGTTTCGATTATATCTTCGTCAGAAATACATGTATTCCACATTTGTCAACATGTATCCCCCCCCCCAACATGAATACGGTTCACACATACACACACACAAAAAAGGTTCTGCTCTTTGTGGATTGAGGAACCATACTGAGATTCCCTCGGTTCAATATCTACACAGACCTACCTTCTCCCACATTAATCATGCTATGATTTATTATACAATACCTTATTGTTAAATTGGATCCCATGCAGAAGACTTGAATCTCTCACTAGGGCAGTCAGTCCAGATACCAGTATGATTACGCAATACAGTAAGCAAATTATCTAAAATAATGACGTACACAAAGTTTTATTTTCTAAGTTTACACTGGAAACCGTAAAAACACCACTGATGACAGTGAAGATGAACACACCTGTAGTATCATGCCCACTGGAATTTATAATCTACTTTACCTTACAAAGAAAATCGGTGCTTTTGCTGAAAGAAAGAAATATGAAAAAGAAGAAAAGGGACAGAGGCTTTGCACTTAAACCAAATGCAACCTGCCAGGACTATTTCTCCAAAATCCTCCAGGCCCTTAAGAATAAGAATAAATCTTATTGCTAAGCAACTGGTAAATAATAAATACAAGTTTACCTACATTCTTAAATATTGCAAGACACAATACTTGTGGAATTCCACAGTAACATTCATACAATGTATAGGGCTATCTCAACACTCATTCATTCTGGAACATTTTGAAGTAATAGGACTCAAGCAGCTGTGTAGAATTACTATTTGAAAGAAGAAAAAAGAAAAAAGAAAGAAAGAAGAAAAAGAAAAGAAAAGAAAAAAAGAAAAAAAGAAAAGAAAAAGAAGAAAAGAAAGAAAGAAAAAAGGAAAAAGAAAAGAGAAAGAAGGAAAAAAAAAAAGAAAGAAAAAAGGAAAAAGAAAAAAAAAAAAGAAAGAAGAAAGAGAAAGAAGGAAAAGAAAGAAAAGAAAGAAAAAGAGAAGAAAAAAGAAGAGAAAGAAAAAACAAAGAAAGAGAAAGAAAAAGAAAAAAGAAAAAGAAGGAAAAAAGAAAAAAAGAAAGAAGAGAAAGAAGGAAAAAGAAAGAAAAAAGAAAAAAGAAAAAGAAGGAAAAAAAAGAAAAAAAAGAAAGAAAAAGAAAGATAGAAAGAGAAATCTTTTTGCTTATGTTGCACTTGTGATGAGGATATGAACTACACAGTAAAAATCTTCTGCACCTGTTCTAGCCTAATTATATACAATCATACTATGTACAAGCTTTGGCTGTGAAAAGTTCCAACACCAGTACCTTACAGAAAAAAAACAAAAAATAAAAAAATAACATTTATCAATTAATTTTCCAATTCTATATCTTTATTTTCATGATAACACTTTCTCATCTACTTCAGTAATTATTCACTCAAGGACTAAGTCAAGTTTTGATTTAATGACATTCCTAATACATCAAGTCTACAATCTTCCTTGAGTACATGTGAAGTGCGTAGACTATGGTATTGTTTTCTCTGTAGCTTTGCTGAATTTGATATGTGACTGTAGACGTAACTTTATTTTGAACATTTTTTTTTTTCTTTTATATAGCTAATAGTTGATACATCTTTATAAGACACCTGCAGTGGTTTTCATAAGATTTTTTCTTGTAATTTCACTGGTTGTCATCTTTCCAAATCGATTCAAAACTCAATGTGCTTGTGACAGACAACCTACTGTCTTAAGTCAACCAATGAGGGTGTTGTATTGTCAAGCAACTGCAGCACCTTCGTGAATGAAGATGTGGTAGAAATTGGTTAGCCTTAACTGGAGAACCTACAGGTGCAGAGGCTGCGTCTAGGTTAACCTTGTGATTTCTCCCCTAACAAGGGCAACAAAACCGCACCACATATTCTGGAACAACTGGTTTCTAATTCGATAATAAATCAACATGGAATCTGCAAAATCAATTTTGTCTTAAGTCAACCAATGAGGGTGTTGTATTGTCAAGCAACTGCAGCACCTTCGTGAATGAAGATGTGGTAGAAATTGGTTAGCCTTAACTGGAGAACCTACAGGTGCAGAGGCTGCGTCTAGGTTCATACACTTTTTTGGCATCAAAATTCCATGACTTTCCTAAGAGGTTTGGGCAATTTTTCCATGATACTTTTCATTTTTCCTTGAGCATTTGATGTATATTCATGATATATATATCCAATTACAACAGGTACAATGCCTGTAATTCAAAATTGATGTCAAATATACACAATTTAAGTAATGACTTGTGAAGGTGCTTTCTGGATCAGCATGTATCAGTTCAGACTATGTAATTTTTCAAATCTTACTTCAGTTACCAAGGTTTATTTTGCTTTCTTTCTGAAGTGTCTCAGAATAAAGAAAGAAAAAAGAAAAAGAAAGAAAAAAGAAAAAAGAAGAAAAAAAAATCTATCTTAGCCAGACTTTTTTATTATTAAACATACAAAATTCCATGATATCCTAGGTCTGGAAATTTCAATTTCAATTTCCGCGATTTCCACGATTCTCCAGGACCCATACGGTCCCTATTGTGTCAGTTAGTGCGAAACCATTGGTTTATCTATTATATTAACTAAAACTTGGTAGCTTTCAAAAAAGAATTTTTGGTTAATCTTTGGGGTATTGATGCACTAAACTAGGGCAAACTGAAGTTTTTCTTGCAGAGGATAAAAAGTTGCAGTCATTGGTACAGGAAATAATCTGCAGACACAAACGGGAAAAAAGATTGTAGAAAATGTTGTTCAGAGTCGAAGATGCTCAATAGTTTCAGTTCTATCTTGCTGTGCATACTATGGTGAAGGTAATGTTTGCCGGGGGGGTGGTACTGGGTACCCAGTCATAAAAACTTAGATTGTTGGATAAATTTTGAGGCAGAGTTAGCAATTTGTGATATAATATCTACAGAACAGAAATCTGTCCAAATTGCTTCACAATAGTAGGCCTACCCAATTACAATGATACATGACCATGGTGCTCAAGGAAAGGCCATCAAATTATTTCCATATATGTATATATATGGTAAAAAAGTAGACTAGGTTTATATTTCTTTAGTTTGGTATTTGTTAATGTGAGAGATGCAACCGCCAGAGATGAAGTCCCAAAACCGGATTTTTAATGTATTTCCTCTAGGCCTACCCAATGGTTTATTTGTACATACCTAAACACTGGGGTATCGTGTGAACCTAAAAATCCAAACCTAACCTTTCCTACCTTCTATTTATTCCCTAAACAGGGGGTAAGCCCACTGTACCGCCCTATATTAACACTTCATGCCAACTTATAGACAACATGACACTGAGAACCATGGCTGCGTGAGGGTGTTCTGAATTTAGTCTGAGGGGAGATATACTGCAGATGTTTCATCATTTCGGTAAATGAGGCCGCCACAGCTCTACCCAAGTTGTTTAAGACTATTTCTAATATTATATAAGATGGCCGTGTACATTCTCCTCTATCAGTGTGCGTCACCCTTGGTAAGAACAAAAACTAATTTGTGTGGCTGAATATATATGTAGTTGCCCTTCAACAGAGCACAGGATGTTCATAGGATATTGCGAGCCCAAAAGGTGTATTAGTAGGATTTATCTTAAGAATTCCCATAGGTTCTAGTAGTCAAAAATCAATTCTCTTACCTTAGTTATATATTGATTCAAAAAATAATGCTTAACCTCCTAGACATTAACATCAAAAGTCATACTTCTAAAATCCTCACGAACCTAGGCCTATAAATCTTATTTTCCCCACTTTTTCCCTTCCCTCTGAGGGCAAGACAAGAAACAAGAAAAGGAAGAGAAAAGGACCTAAAACAGTCTAATATAAACCTTCACCGCAGTCACCACCAAGCAACGGCGAATCAGGCTCGTTCAAGATCTGAAAACCTTTACTCAAACCGTCCTTAAAAATGAATTTTGAAACTCCGTGTTAAAAACCCTCCCCTTCGACGTCCCTTTAAAACCTCCTTCGCACAAAATGGCTTATTTCTCTCACCTCTTGCTGACCGAGTGCGAGTCTCTCCCCGCGATGGCCTTGTCGCTGTTGCCTTTGCTTGGACTCGCCGTCGTGCTGTTCCCCGGAGCGATATTCTGGGCCATTTTGCTGGAAAATTCGCGAGAGTGTCTGCGCCT